GACAATGGTTTAGAAATCAATACTTTTTATTATAATTTTCTGTTATGAAAAAAATTAGTCAGCTTTTTTTTTTGCTGCACTTTTTTGCATGATCAATAATATATTCTTAAACTATTTTGCATTGTTCATGTGAGGCAATATTTTTTTCCAAGTTGAATTTATATTAAAAAAACATTCTTCAATTTTTCATTTTTTAATATAGCGTTTACTTGCAGTTTGCAAGTAATTGCTATATTAAAAAAAATGACCTTTAGAATAAAAAAATAAAATATCTTTATTATCTATAATTAGATGTTTATTTAGCGCTCTATTCTTGTTTGCTTATAATTAATACTAAGCTGAAGCTATAGAAGAGTACATTGAAGTATCAAAATGGTTTGTCTTTTTGTTAACTATGGTGTTCATTATGCTAAATGTTTGCTCAACTTAAGGACTACTGAATATACTTAAACATGCCTTGATAATTTTACTAAGCTCATAATTATTTTTACATTTAAAAACTTCTACCCATAAATAGTCAAGGCGTACAGGCTTTCCATCAGTAAATACAGGTAGAAGCGCTTTGTCTATCTAAAGCTGCAAAACTTCTTAATTAAATTATACTTTATTTATACCTTCAGTGGGAAAGAAAATGGGGCGTTTTTTTAGCATTCTCTCTGTAATTTCGTGTCCTTGAGTCCTATAACTTACTTAATAAATTTCCTTGTTAAAAGGAAATTTAATAAGTAAACTGGTGATTTAAGGTAAGCTTTTAACAAGGTCTAAAAAACAATGGGTTGAAGTCAGGGTTTCAAATAATTATTTTGGACAATTTTTTCCCTCGTATAATTGGTAGAATCTGATAAATAGGAAACTTGATTACTTAATGGAATTGTGTGTTCATTAAATAAATGAATCACAGCATTAAAAAGACTTTTGGGATTTACTGTAACAAGTGATAATGATACCTAGTGTTTTAATACAACTTTATTAGCTTTGTTGCAAAAATATGCTACGAGCATACTAAAAACTTTTTTTATTTTTTATTTTGCCAAGAAGCATTTATCTATTTATGTTAAGGAAAATATTATTTTCATATCAAAAACAAGCTCAGCATGAAAAGCTTCACCTAATCCTTGCAGCTTATACAAAGCAGTTGTTCTGAATGAAGCCCATTCTTTTTTAGACAAGGTGTAAAAACTTATTGTAAACATAGTTGGACCTGCTCTTGCAGCCAATCTCCAACCATTATCTCTTCGTCATAATGTTACTTCTATTTCACGTTTCTATTAGTACTAAAATTACCAGTGATCTAAAGAGCTGGTGTCTCTTGTGCCATCTACTAAAATTCATTCTTGTGTTGCTCGTCATTCAATCAAGTCTAATCCTTTAATCGTGACTGTTCCTAAGTGCTCCAAAAATTCTTAATCATCTAGTTTTTTTCCTCAAAAATCAGTTCTTTGGAATTCGCTTTCTTTATCTTGTTTTCCTGATTCATATAATTTGCAATCTTTTAAATCGTCTGTCAATCATTCACTTGTTCTATAAACTTCATCTTTTCTCTTCCAGTAACTTCCAACTCTAATAGTGGTTGCTTGCAGCCTTGTTGGAAGTGAAGATGTTGATTAATGTCCAGTCTCTAAAACTTACAATAGGTTTAGTGGTAGGCTTTACTCTATATGTGCAAGTTCTGCCAATATGCACATTATCCAGAGTGCTGTATGGCAATATATATGTATCTATTTTTTTTCTAATTAGTAAAAAATAATGATGATATAGCTTTGTTTTACTTAATCATTGTGCCCTTTTGACTTTGAGTGGCTGAGTAAAGATAGTTTACCTTCGTTTCATAATTCAGTTAAGGAATAAACTTTCTGCTCCAGCTTTATTTATCTTTCTTATATAGGCTGAATAGTAATCCTCATTATAGTCTTCTTCTTGAAGCCGATTCCAGCGAAACTTGTTTTTAATATTTTTGTTTATCTAAGAAATGTCAGATAAACTCTAAATTTGCATTTAATAATTTTTTTTCTTATTGATATAATGATTGACAAAAAATTTTGTAAACTTTTAAAACGGAATTTGCATCAATTAACTTGTTATAAAAAGAAGTTTTTAATATTCGAAAAAGTTATTTTGAATTAATTAAAAAGAAAAAAAAAAATATTGTGAAAACTGATCTTGTGAAAATTTTAGTACTGGAAAACATATTTGCTTAAATGCAAATGTTGCTGTGTTAAAAAATTTATACATTTTTTGCATGAATCAGTGGCAAAAAACCTCTTATCCAAAAACTTCCTGAAAATTAAAGGAGTTTTAAGTGAATTTCCAAAATTCCAAATACTCCCAGAAAAAATTCATCTATAAATTACTTTGTTTAGAATTTAGATAATACATGTGTTTTGTGGTTTTTATTTTAATAAATCAGTTAGAATTAAATTAAAACATTCTTTTTTCCATTTTAATTTTAATCTAACACTTGTTTGACCTTTTTTATTTAAATTTAAATAGCAGATTAAAATCGCACACACCAGTCTAAAATTGCTTCACCTATAAATATTGAGACAAACATCAGCGTTTTTTAAAAAAATTTTTCGAACCCTAGAACATTACAAGAGAGTTATGTGGCCAGTATGCATTTAGCTTCAGCCTGGGATCGATGTTATAAAACTTTTTACCGGCGTAAAATGCTAGCGGCCGAAATTTTACTGTAGGAATTTTTACAGCCATAAATAGAGTCATAAAATATTTTTCAATTCAATGTTATAAAACTTTTCCGCATCAAATTTTGTAGATATCTATGCTCTAAACTTATTCTTAGAAAATTTTATTCTCCGGATTAATAACATTCTTAAGATATAGAAGGTTGTCGAAAACAAAGTGTTTTTGAGTGAAGATTCAAAAACATCAAAGTTAACAAACTAAAGGTTTAAAACCTTTAGTTTGTTAACTTTTCCAGCTTTCTCATGGACTTGGGCTGTTCCGATTCTGATGAAGAATAGTTTGTTGCTTCAGAATATTTGGCGAATCAGAGACAACCACGATAGGTAAAACTGTTCAAACAGTATTTAAACAATTCAGAATATAATTGAAAAGTAAAAAAATAAAATTGTCATTAATTTTTTACCCTACCCTATAGCAAAATTTGTGTAGTTTTTCTATAAAAATAATCAATACTATTTTCTATAAGCTTTTGAAACAAATGGCCTGTAGAAATAGAGGCTGTAGAAATGGCTTCTTTAGACTACCAATTGTGATTTAATACAATATTTTATAGACTTTTTGCAGTTGGAGTTCTAAGACCATTTGTTTCAAAACCGTATAGAAAATTAGGTTGATTTAAATATAGAAAATCTTTACAAATTTTGTATGTTTGTTATTGGAAGAAAAAATAGGAATAGTTGCATAAATAAACTTTTTAAACAAATGACTTTAAATATTAAATAATTAAAAGAACTATTCAAAAATTCATTAAGTAAATTTTTATAACATTTAGACACAAAAAAACATTAAAGCGTAAAACTATTTTGTCGCTTTCTGCTTAGAATTTTATCCACAATATGTTTTGACGTGCTTCTACTATAAACAATATGAGAAACCTTGGAAACAAGTTATACATGATCTCTAAACACTTTCTGATTAAGGAGAAAAATCTTGAATGAATTTTTTTGCTGCTTCATCTGATTTCATCAAAAATATTTGAGGTTATTCCATATTCGAGTATCAATATTAATTTCTAGAACTTTATTAATTCTGTTAATAGTTTATCCTCTTTTCTTACAATTTCTAATCTCAAATAATCTCTGCATAAATTTTAAATGGAGGAATTTCATTTTACCTGTTCATTTTGATTTTGTCTAAAACTAGAGTTGATCTAATTTTTGGATCAATAAACAGTCCTGTTAAATCAAGCATTTGCCTGAGTTAAGATAAAGGATAGCATATTTGTTGGTAGAGATGTCAAAAGTCTAAATGGCTTGTGATGATGAGTTGTGAGAAATGCCTGGTGTGCTTAAGTAAAGTTTATAATGATCTATTAAGTTATTAAGTAGAGATTATATTGATTTATTAAGTTATTATAATGATCATTATTAAGGCTGTTGACAGGCACCTGGCTACTCTTTCTTTTGTTACTGTCTGGGTAGCATTTCAATTGAGGGGTAACCGTCTATTTATAAGTTTAAAATTTATTTCATTCATTTTTATACTATATTAAATTTATACTATAATCTTAATATAATAGTTATAATTATTTTAACATTATAAATTTGGTGTATGAAATGAGATCTTAACGGTCTTAAAAATTTTAATAGTTACGATTGTTTATCACCATCAGAATTTCTGAAAACATTCAAATGTTGAAAAGTTATTAATTCAACTACTTATTGCTACTCATTACTTCTGTGTTCAAAGTTGTTTCTTTTATGTAAAACATTTATCATAACTTATTCATAAATTTGTTTTTCGGACAAAAATATTCCAAAACCTATTAGATGAAAGATAAAATTGTGCTATTTTAACAGACAAGAACAAAAACATACATTCAGTACCATCAGATTATTTAGTACCATCATTCACTTTTTGACTGCTGGGCATGTGGGCATCTCCACTGTTTTGACACCCAAAACAGTTGAGATTTAGTATTTCTAAACCGTAATTATGATTTGTGTAACCTGGAGGCTTAAAGTAAAGTTTAGAAAATGAATGTTTCTAAATAAGTGACATTGAATTAAATGTTTTTTTTTTTTTTTTACTGTTTATAAGAACAACTTTTATTTTTAAAAATTATTTTAACAGGCACCTGGGTAGCTGTCTGTTTGTTTGACGGGTACCCAAGCATTTTCACAATTTTTAATAGCCCTAATCACAAAGATGTTTTCATAATGACCGTACTTATGTTATTGTAAGGACCTTATATATGTTATAATAATAGTTGTACAATAATTGTAAGGATCATACTTATATTATCATAATGATCATACTAGTTTTATCATTGTATTTTAGTCTTTTTATAATTTTAGGTTCTTAGTTACACAGGGAACTGTTGCGGTTTGATAGAAAGTATGGTGCTTAAAGTTCTTGAAGATGTTGCTTGTGGTTTAAATTTTTTGCATGAAAAAAATATTATTCATAGGGATTTAAAGCCAGAAAACATTTTAAAAGGCCACAAAGGTGATCAAGTTGTTTATAAGATTGCTGATTTTGGATTTGCAAAAGATTTAGACAGAAGTATGTGCAAGACAGTTCTTGGTACTCAAAACTATATGGTATGATTTTTTAGCTGGATAATTTTTGTTAGATGGAGAGGAATGATTATAGATAATAAATTTATTGCTATGTGTTTTAGGCTCCTGAACTTTATGAGTCTCAAAGTGGTTATACAAAAGCTGCTGATTATTGGAGTTTTGGTACTGTAATCTTTGAGTGTATTACTGGAATAAGACCATTTGACTTAATTAAAGAGAACAAGTTAAAAGTTATCTGTAATAAAAGTGACACTGAAATATGGGGGTGTGAAACTCCAGATGGTGTGAAATTTTATTCTGATATACCAATGCCCAATCGTTTGTGCAAATCTTTGACAAGTTCTTTAAAGAAATGGTATGTATTGATTTGTGATTTTTTATAACAGCCACAAACGCTGAAGAATGAGATAGCTACAGTAACATTAGGACTGCATATAGTAACATCGGGACTGCATTTTCATTTTGTAGTTTCTTTAGACTTTTAAAGTTATTTTTTGCTCAATGTATTTGTCTAAAATTTTGAAAGAGTTTGTGCTGTATTAGAACATTATCTTGTGAGTTCCACATTAAAGTCAAGTTTAAATTACAAATACATAAAATATGCTAATTATTTACAAATAATAAATTTAGATGAAATTATAAGAATTAAGTTTAAATTTCTATAAAACTAACTTATAATGATTGTGTCAAATGTCAAGAAAAGAAACAGATATTTTAAGAGTTTAAATAACCAGAAGTTTAGTGTAAACATTCTATAACATTACATAATAACATTTCTACATTGTTTTAAGTTCAAACTAAACTAGTTTTGTGGTAATTTAGTGAATTACTATAGCTCAAAAAACTTAATGTTGATAAGTATGAAAAGCAAATGAAAAGTTTTATGGAGTCAAAAATTCGTTTAGGCAAATGCGTTAAGTATTTTTTATTTATCACAAGGCTGGCTATTGTTAAAGAAGTGATACCGTTGAGGACAGTTCTTTGTAATTTACCTGCAAAGTTGTAAATATTGATCAGCTCAAGAAAAAATCTTTTCAGGATCTGAAAAGACTTTTTGAACAAGTTGAACAATGATCAGTAAAGTTTTTAAACCCAAATTGCTTACTATAAAGAATATTGTTTTCTATCTAAAAAATAATACAATCTTTTATACACGTGTTCTAATAACTTTGAAAAGTGATCTTTGTGCTTAATTTTTAAAGATCTCTAGTTTTGATTTTTGATTTTTAGATCTCCCTGTTTGTGTCTGTTTTCTAGCAATGAGCATTTTTGAATTAGATCTCCCTGTTTGTGTCTGTTTTCTAGTGATGAGCATTTTTGAATTAGATCTCCCTGTTTGTGTCTGTTTTCTAGCGATGAACATTTGTGAATTAGATCTCCCTGTTTGTGTCTGTTTTCTAGCGATGAGCATTTTTGAATTAGATCTCCCTGTTTGTGTCTGTTTTCTAGCGATGAACATTTTTGAATTAGATCTCCCTGTTTGTGTCTGTTTTCTAGCGATGAGCATTTTTGAATTAGATCTCCCTGTTTGTGTCTGTTTTCTAGCAATGAGCATTTTTGAATTAGATCTCCCTGTTTGTGTCTGTTTTCTAGCGATGAGCATTTTTGAATTAGATCTCCCTGTTTGTGTCTGTTTTCTAGCGATGAGCATTTTTGAATTAGATCTCCCTGTTTGTGTCTGTTTTCTAGCAATGAGCATTTTTGAATTAGATCTCCCTGTTTGTGTCTGTTTTCTAGCGATGAGCATTTTTGAATTAGATCTCCCTGTTTGTGTCTGTTTTCTAGCGATGAGCATTTTTGAATTAGATCTCCCTGTTTGTGTCTGTTTTCTAGCGATGAGCATTTTTGAATTAGATCTCCCTGTTTGTGTCTATTTTTTAGTGATGAGCATTTAAAAGCACAACATTTACTAGAGTAATTAGGGTTACAATAATAGTGTGATATTTTTGAAATATTTTTGAATTTTGTTTCAAATAAGGTGACCATTCTGACACTGTTTAATCTAAAGCGGGCACAAAAAAACTTTATAAATTTTTTTAGCAGCATTTCTAGATAAAAATGTATTTTTGAGAATTCCAAGCATTCAATTAGCTTTATATGATGCTTTTGTAACTTGATTGTGCAATTTAAGATCAAATGTTCATATTAGATGACTAAATCTCATTTAGTTGATGCTAACCTAGCTTAATTCTCTAGTGTTAAGGTCATTTATATAATAATCAAGTTTTGGTAAATTAGAATATCGTAGAGTATGCAATTTTTTACACATGCTTTTCTGGAGTTGCGTTATGCATATTTTTGTCCATTTTGTAATTTAATTAACTCTAGAGTTTTTCAGTCTTTTTTGTTTTCAATTATGACAAGTATCTTTATTTCATCAGCATTTTACAATCATTATTTATGTTATCATAATACATAATACAACATATAACTAACAGGGTAGGTCTAGGCCATTGTAAGCCTGTAGATCAAATGATAACAGAGTTAAATATTATATAAACCTGTGAAAGAATTGCCATTAGTGTGTCATTACCAGACAATAATAGAAAGGAAGACCACCTGTTAGGTGTAGTTCAAAGCCTATTTTTAAAAGAAGTTAATCAGGCACAACAAGTTTACAACTCATTGGAATATTATGATTGTAAAGATTAGTTAATAGGCATCTGTTCTGATATATATATATATATATATATACATATATATATATATATATATATATATATATATATATATATATATATATATATATATATATATATATATATATATATATATATATATATATTCATATATATATAAAATATATATATATATATGTATATAATATATATATATATATATTTATATATATTTTATTAATATATATATATATATATATATATATTTTATTAATATATATATATATATATATTTTATTAATATATATATATATATATATATATTTATGTATATATATAATATATATATATTTTATATATATATATATTTACATATATATATGTATATATATATATATATATATATATATATATATATATATATATATATATATATATATATATATATATATATATATATATATATATATGTATGTATATATATAGGGCGTTTCCGTATCTTTATGTGATTTTTTTTTTTTTGTTTTGTTTCAACAATTAGAAGCTGTGACTTTAAGCAATATGCATACTTTTATAATTTTCATAAAGAACATTTATAATAAAAGTAATTTTATCATATTTTAGGCCACCTGAATAAATAAATATATATATTTTTATTATTTTATTTTTTTTGCATGTTAATGTTGCAATAGTTTGAAAAACGCTATACTCAAGCTAGAAATATTTAATGACTGCTGCTATTTCTCATCAAAAATATATTAAATATAAATTGCAGAAATATAATATTTCACTTAAAATACTCACAATCAATTTATTTTCATAAAAATTACTCCATTAAATCAACACTTTTGCAACTTCCGCGCCTGACTTCCGTGCTTGATCATTCATAAACTGCATTTAAATGATTGCTGTGATTCTATGATGCATAGTGCATTCTTGAAACTTTTTTTGTTTGTTTAAAATATTATATTAAAAAAAGGTATACTGCTGAACAGGGATGCAGAGTCCCAAAAGGACTCCGGCTTTAAATCTCTATTTTTTTCAGGTCTGTAGTGTCCTGAAGCTCTAAACATGTTTGTTGACTTATGATCTGCCATAAGAAAAAAATTCATGAGAAAAAAATTTCATGATTCATGACTTGGAACTTATTGTTTTCAAGTCCAGGATCCTGGAGTCCTGGAGTCCTTGCCAACATTATGCCTATGGACTCCAGGTTCAAAAAATGATGGTTCCTTTTACCTAAAAGTATTATTTTCTTTTTCTACTATAAGTCCATAAACTTTTTTATACTTTTTAAAATCTGGAAAAATATCTGGTATTCAAAATTTTAGTTTATGCAAACCCGTGTACTTTGTTTTTAATGAGCAAATTATTATGTTTGTTAGCAAAAAAGCTATAAAAAACAAAACAAAACAATAAACTTATGACTACAAAAGCTATTACACTTTAGTCACTAACTGCATTATAAAAGTAATAAAACTATAATAGTATTATTACTTTTATAAAGCACTTATAACTTTTAAAGTTCATTCTTTGTTCAAACAACATAAGTAGTTCCGAACTTTAATTAAAGTAGAAAAGCATCTAGAAAAATAAAGTGGATTTCCAAATATTTTACTTTTACAAATACACTTTTTTACAAAAACAACTTTATAAAAACGTACTTTATAAAAAGTTTAGCATTATGAAAAACACATAGTATTTTAATATTTGAATATCCACTTTATTTTTACTAGATGCTTTTCTACTTTAATTAAAGCTTCGAATTACTTATGTTGTTTGAACAAAGAATGAACTTTAAAAGTTATAAGTACTTTATAAAAGTAATAATACTATATAGTTTTATTACTTTTATAATGTAGTTAGTGACTAAAGTATTATAGCTTTTGTAGTCGTAAGTTTCTTGTTTTGTTTTGTTTTTTATAACTTTTTTGCTCACAAACTTATTATAATTTGCTTATTGAAAACAAAGTACACGGCTTTACATAAACTAAAATTTTGAATACCAGATATTTTTTGGGATTTTACAAATTGCGATCGCTTAATTCAACCATTGTATGAGTTTTGGTTCGTGCATTTTTTGGAAATGCCCTATCTATATATATATATATATATATATATTGATATATATATATATATATATATATATATATTGATATATATATATATATATTGATATATATATATATATATTGATATATATATATATCTATATATATATATATATATATATATATATATATATATATATATATATATATATATATATATATATATATATATATATATATATATATATATATATATAATATATCAATATATATATATATATATCATATATATATATATATATATATATATATATATATATATATATATATATATATATATATATATATATATATATATCAATATATATATATATATATATATCAATATATATATATATATATATATATATATATATATATATATATATATATATATATATATATAGATATATATATATATATATATATATATATATATATATATATATATATATATATATATATATATATATATATATATATATATATATATATATATATAGATATATATATGATACCAATACTGATTGGATTACTGATTATTAACCATACCAAATTAAATTTTATAGATTTAGTAAAGAATGTTTAGTATTTAAAATTGTGAATACACAAACTGTAAAATAAAAACATTAGCATTTCATCCTGTTTTGGGAGCCAAACTTTTTTTCTTGGAGAATAAAGATTAGTTACAAGTATTAAAACAAAATAAGATCAAAGCACGCTACTGTTTAAAAATGGTTTTAAACAAAAAACTAACAATTCCATTTTGTTACAATACCTTTTTTAAATCCATTTTCTGGCACTTTATACTGAGTTTGATTTTTTTGATAATTTTCAAAAATAGACAGAATGTTTAAAAAAAGGTTTTATAAATTTTTGATATACTTTTGATACATATCTTGGCAAATTCAGTTTCATCCAACATTAGTTGCAAAATGTGTAATAGTTATGGCAAATAATCGTAATTTGCCTATCTATTCCAGCTACCATTTTAGATGCATTATCTCTAGCCATTAAATGTAAGCTTATATGTAAGCTGTATATTTAAATGTATATAAGATATACCATATGTAACATACTGTATATGTATATAAGATATATAAGTATATATAACATATACAAAAAGCACCCTCAAAGTTTGTTGAGGCTGTTTTGACAACAACTTGCCTCATTTAATTTGATTCTTCATTGGAAACATTTTTTTCGTTTTCCCTTTGTTTTGTTTTTTTTTAATTTATAACTTTTTGTATCTTATTACTTTTTGTTTGGTTTTACTATATGACATAACATATTTGTCATAACATATTTTGAATCTTTGTTAAATTTTGTAATCTTTAGTTTGTATGTACTACTTAAATAAATCAGTTTCAATAGTAGTGGCAAAATAATACCTAACTGCTTGATTTCAAAGGAATACTTTTTTTATTCAAAGCTGACATCTGTATATACTTTTTGAATTAATACTTTTATTATTTTATTAGTAATTGAGATCCAAACAGCAATTATATAAAAATAAAGAAAATCGAAATCAAATTGAATATAGCAATCATATAGAAATATAGAAGGGAATAATTAAATAAATATAGAATACAATGACTAAATTTTATTCCAGAAACAATATTGTGATATTAAAAGTATATATAGCAAAAAAAAAAAGGAATATATAGAAATATATAGCAAAAAAATATAGGAATATATAGCAAAAAAAATGTAGTACTTTTATTTATATTTATATGCTTTAGGCTTCAACTTGTTTTGTGTCACGATGCTGATAAAAGAGGAACAACAGAATGCTTTAGCATGATTAAAGATATCTTAAGTATTAACGAGATCCATTTGTTTGACATTATGACATGTCAGGAAACTTCATATGCGTGCAAACCAGGTGATACTGTTCAGAACTTAAAATTATTCATTAAACAAGAGTTTGGTATAGAAGCTTATGACCAATACCTTGTCAAGTTAGGATCTGATTTTTTAAGTGATCAGCAATGTTTAGAAAATTATGTGCAACGCACAGAAGTTGTTTTTGTATTTCGAGATAATATTGATGCAACCTACAAAATAAACAAAGACATGCCTGATAGAGTAAAAGAACTTCTTGGACATTATGAAGAAATACAGAAATATCATGAGCTGTTGTTAAAATGGTCTCATTGTATCTACTATTGTACAAAGCAATCAAACAACTATGATAGACTTTTAGAAGGAAAAAATGCACTAATAAAGATATTAAAATGCAGAATGGAAACCATTGATGAGTTAAAAAATGAACTTACTGAGTTGATCATTCAAAATGAAACAGGAATTCACTTTTTTAATAAGAGTCTGGAAACTGATATCCAACTCTATGGTACAGATGTTCCTCAGGATGAATGGCTAAAAGCTCAAACAGAAATTACAAAAAGTAATGATGATGCTTCAAATTTAAAATCATTATTAAACGATATTTTCAATTTAAAATCAGATGTTGAAAAAATCTCAGTTGTCAATGGCAACCAATTTTCTAATGAACTAAAGAAAATGTATGTTCTTTTGCTGTCATTTTATTTTTTTTAGTTTGTGAGAATTTGGTCATTATTTTTTTTATTTATCTTACATTATTATCTAAGATTTAATAGCATATTATGTATCAAATTTAATTAAATCTCTACAGGATCCCAGAGATGGTTAAATTAAAAAAAATTATTTCAAAATCTGCAATTGTTTAAAAAAATTAAAAAAAAAAAAACAGAGATTAAGGCACACTTAGTAAGCGACAGAGGTTGATATTTGAACCTTGTACAATACAAACACTATTCCTAATCTATGTCTAAGGTCATGACATTTTTTCTTGTCCTGTTAGAGTCCCACCACACATCCATCTGGTCATCTGTTCCCTCAATTCCAAAATTGAAACACTTGCATTTATTTTGGAAACAGCACGTTTAATTGGAAAACTTGCATTTATTTTGGAAATAAAGTGTCTCAAGGCTATATTTTGCATTTTTCTTGTAAAATGTCTTATTTTCTATATTTTGAGAGATTTTAAAAGTGAAAGTGAAAAAAAAAGTCAAAAAATGCACATTCATCATCAGTTTAAATCTTTTTTGTATCTTCTTTTTTTTTAGGTGATCTAATATCGTGTTTACAGTGGTTGCACCAGGTAAACACTGTTCTGGGTTATATAGTTTTCCTATTTAATGCACTGGGATTTAAAATGCAAGTAATAAAATAAACTTATCTTATAAAATGCTGCAATCATGCAGTGATATAAGAAAATAGTCTAAAGTTTCTTTGATTGAAACTATAACATTTTCCTTACTTAGTCAGTGATAAAATCCTTGGGTTTAAGATATAGTTCTTGGGTTTAAGATATAGTTGGGTTTAAGATATAGATATAGTTAAGATAGCAGTTTAAAAATAAATAATTGCGATTGTAAACTTCATAAATAATGATTTTTTAAAGATTTTTAATAAATAAAATATAAGTTGAAGCTTTTGTACAATTATTTGTAAAATTTTATTTTGTCCAGGCAATTCTATTTTTAATTTTTAGCAAATTATTTAAACTCTCACTCTAAAGATGAAAATAACTTAAAATTTATTTTTGTTGATTTTACTGGGTATTCCCATGGGTATTTTTTTAAAAATAGAAGCATTATGTTCCAGCCAAAAAACCAAAGTGTTCCAATTTTATAAACTGGTTGCCTTGATTGAAACAAAATGGTGTCTTGAAAAAACCAAATTTATTTCCAAAATTTAATTTAGTTTATTTATTAAATTATGAGTAAAAGAACGGTAGGATTGTTTGTATTTATCAAATCATAAATGTTTTCATAGTTAAACTATATCTTGTTAAAAATATTTATTCTTTTAGTGTTCCAATTTCACCAATTCTCCTCTATTAATTTTCTATAAATATATAAGGTTATTGTATGTCAGCATATAAATAAATAGCAAACATAATTGGCATATAATATGGATAGATGGACATGAATATGGATATAAACAATATATGTTTTTATCCATATATATGTTTATTATATGTCAGTGTTTAATAAATAGCAAAATATGCATAAATTTATATGTATCAAAAATATTTTCCTAGCGGGACTATCAACTCTTGCTAAATCTTATAATTTTGCTGGGACTAGGACAAAGGCCCAGTTTGTATAAAGTCCCATACTAGCCAGGGACAGGACCCTTTTACTAGGCACACTGCACTTTATTTTTATGCTGTATATGTATGCAGTCTCTTTTATAATTAAAAAAATCTAAAGAAATATTTTTCAATTAAAATCCTTGTACATATATTAATGAAAGACGCTTGCGTATAGAATTTTTCTCATAATTTTTACAGTACTTTTAAGCAGATGTATCAACATTTTGTATGGATACTTCTGCTTTAAAGTGAGTAAGGTAATGTGGGTCTATGAAAACAACTTTAAAAAAGGACTTCAGAATATTTTAATTGGTATTTCTTTAATAAATTTGTATGATTTAAATCATACAAATTTATCAAATCATGATTTAAAGAATTTTTCAGAAAGCAGATACATATACATTTTTTTTTAAAACTTAAACTCTGAAAATAATAAGTAACTTGAAGTAAGCTCAGATTACCCCATCCCCCACCCCTAACTATTATGCTGATTGACAAAATTGAGAAAGCAGACAAAAAATGTTTGCTTAATTACAGTTAATAACAGCAAATGTATAACCGCTGATGTAACTTTTTTACTTTTTAACTTGACTGTTTGTTGAAACCTATTCAAAACAATTTGACAACTGAAAAGTCTGGTTAAATTAAGTTTAGTTAAAAAGTAAAAAAATATTCTGCTAAACAGTAACACATCTGAAAGCTTTAAAAGATGGAAGGTGAGTTAGTGTAAACGATGAAAGATGATGATATTGATGAAACTATTGTTTTTTAGCTAAATTGGTTCAGTTTTTAATGCAGTCAACATAAAAAGTCTATTCCAAAGAGTCCACTTAAAAGGCAACTTAAAAGATCACATATCAGATGACGATATTTTTTTCTGAAATGATAAATTTAATAATGATTAAAAAAAAAAAAGTAAATTGAAATTATATCAATTTCAATTTACTTTTTTTTTAATCAAGTTAAACAATTCTCATATGTTTGTGTTGAAAATTTTACAACAGACCCCATAGATTCAAGAATTTGAGAAACACAAATTATCGGAGAATTTTGTTTTATAAGTATCGAAAAAATAATGGAAAATGAAAACCTTTGAATCAAATATAGATATAATTTCATAATATCTTGTAAAACTTCAAGGTAATATATATACAATAAAATGCTGTATTCTCGTTTTACCAAGAAAAAAGAGTTTAACAACAGTAGATGACTTTAACAGTCATTTTTCATTAAAATTTTTTAGTTTGTTTTTAAAATTGTTAACTGATCTCGGGTTTACAACATCTTGATCAAGTATATTCCAGGCTTCTGCTATATGGTTTGTGTAGAAATTATGTCTAGAAAATGAGTTTCTTACTATTTGCCTTCTTTCTAGTTGTACACTCTTTTTCTACAATTTTTTTCAGACTCTTAATGCCAGTTTATTTTATCTATACTTTTTTGTTATCAAACATTTCAATTAGATCACTTTGTAATAATCTATCAACTAATTTTAGAAATTTCATCTTTTCTAACTGTTGTTCACAGTTAATACCTTTTGTAGGTCTCTTTCCTAGTCTCCTTTTGTTGTTATTTTTTCCAGTGGTTTCTAATTTTGCAGTATAATGTTTAATTGTGCATTGTTGTTTAAATTATCATGGGTATGTGCATTATTTTGCATTTATCACTTTTAAAATTGTTAGTTGCCCATTTAAAGAGATAATCAAAGTTATTTTAAAGTTAATTTTTATGCAAATTTGTATTTATTTCTGCTATCACTTTTGTGTTACCTGCATATAATTTTTCATTTGTTATTAAAATCCTGCATTAAGTTATTATTAACAAAAAGTAAAAGACCAAGTACTGATTATGGTTGTACTCCACTTTCTACAGTTTCCTACTCTGATACATTTCCCTAAAGCTACTCTTTGTTTTCTGTTTGTTTTGATTATTTCATTTAACATTGAATTTGGACAAAATGTATTTGTTACAGTTTTACATGGTGGAATATCCTCAAGATTTTCATTTGTTATACAGAGCATTTTACAGAGCAGAAGAATTTATTTGAACTAGCTGTAAAGTAAGCGAAACCATAAAATTTGGATCTAAGTAAGTCTGCTCCACACTGATCATTTCTATACTTATTTTTTATATGGTCTCTTTACAACAATAATTTTTAGTTAAAATTAAAAAAATAATTGAAGCAGAAGAGTGAAGCCATCATTCTTGGTCAGGTTGATCAAGTTGTGATTAAGTTACTCAGAAGAATTTCTTGGATCATTTCCTCATCCTAAAAATGCGGGGACGAGTCTCACTTTGTTTTTCCTCAAGAACAAAGCACTGTTTAGCTGTTGTCAAATAATAAGATGTTTGAATAAACCAACTCTAGAGCATAGAGATATTTTAAAATTCAATACAGACTCTAGGTGACAATCGATATTTTGTTAATATCTCAGACAGGTGGTATCCATACCAACTTTTTTTTAGTATTAATTAAAAATATACTGCACTTGAATTTTATTTTAGTTTTGTTGCAAATAATAATGTTTTTAATAAACAGTGCTCATTTTTGTACATTTACAATTTAATTGTAAATGTACAAATTTAATTGTCTTTTTATTGTTAACTTCTGTTCCTTATGTGCCAATTTGTTCATGTGTATTTTTTGCCTCTGTGTCACTGTGCCTCAATAATGTTTAATATGATCATACTATTCTAAAAATCTATTATTTTGATGTTCAGAACTTCAACTTTTAATAACATTTGTAATATTGTATTGTTTTAAAGTCAGTGAAGGTTTTATCCAATTGAGTGCCTATTGTGCATCCTGTTAGTTTTGAATGTTATAAGTGTACTTTGGTACACGCACACACACAAACACGCACTCATTTTTAAAAGTTTTACCAATTTTTTATTACACCCTTATCAGATGTGGAATAGAAATAAACATCTGAAACAGTTGGTGTTTTTATTTACCCCACGTGCAGGGTCAATAGGGACAGACAGAAAACAAAAACAATAAAAAGGTCATCAGTTTTATTTATCAAAAAATGCATAGGACTAGTGCTTAGTACTTTATAGCTCTATTTAAAAAATGCAATTAAAAAACTTTATTTTCAGTAAGTGGAAAGCCTTAAAAACTGTCCTTATTCATGAAACTTTAAAACTTCTTGTCGTAAACTTCTAAAATGGGTAGGAAGAAGGGTAGCTCAGTAATTTTTTTGTGCATATTTTACTAGTTGATTTATGTAAACATATAACAAAAGTCTTTAACATAAATGACAATTGCCTTACATTTCTCCAAGTGTTTTTCAAAATTTAAGGCTTTTTTTTAAATTTTAACCCTCCTATTAATCAAATCTTTTGTTTAATCATATTTAATTTAGCTTTAATGGTGATAGG